TAGGCAATAAAATCTCTTTAAAATCTGCTTTGTGTTCTTTAAAATTCCCAATCTTCCTTTTTGCTTTATATGATTCTGTGTTTCAAACAGAATTTTGTTGGGTACATAGATAATGATGCTGATAAGTATTTTGGTAACAATGTGTACTTAGCTATGTCCATGAAAGCTATAATTGTCTGAGGAGTTGAAACAGGAAGAAAGTCTCCAATTCAGTCACTTATCCCTTGTTGTAGAAAGCAGAGCTATTAGTTGAAAGGGATTTTTAAAAATGGTTTCTGAAATGATAATGATTTCTTAGTTATTTCTCATACACAATCACTTGCCCCTATTTACTATTATTGACCCTCATCTCCAAGCTCAGAAAATTTCTCAAATCTTTTGACAGCTATTCCCTACTAGATCCCTCAGGACAGTCTACAATTTAAGAGCCTTTGTGTCTCTTGGTTGGCTTAACCCTAAAGGAAGGACATTCCTTCCTGAGCTGACTTAAAGATCTCAACCCAGCTTTTCTTTCCAGCACTATACCTCTAGATTATCTTGAAGGCAAGAGGGGTCCGTGGGGTGGATGGGAGCATGCCTTTTTATGAAAACACACGCTTGTGATGTAGTGATGCAAAAACAGTCCTTTTTATTGTTATGTGTGAACTTAAAAATTATTAACCACTCATTATAATTCAATATAGTTCAACCAATATATTGTTGATTTGGGGAAATAAAAAGTGAATGACACACTATATCTTCCTCCAGAGATCCTGTGATGTAGAGCGGATATCAACATCTTTGTAAATTCAATAAAGGACTACAGATGCTGTGATAAGTGCCTGCCATCAACCTGAGCTCCAAGAAGGGAGAACTACTTTGAGTTTCTTTTACAGGATGTAACTCAGTGTAAGATGTGGTGCTGAGTGCTTTGTGTGAAGGTGACATGGGTCTGCAATAACAATGGTAAAAGTGAAGATGTTTGAATAGTGACCCTTTATTTGAAAGCAATAAACAGAGATTATGAGCAAATACGTACACAGGTCAGAACCATCCTTACACCCTAAAAAGAGAGCCCCTCCCCAGAGCTCACTTTTATATATTAAAAAGAACACAAGGTGTGTCTGCCACTAGTGTTTGGACAGTTTGTGGTCTTGGACAGCTACTGTACTGTACCTTTCAATCTCCAGGAGAATGTTCCTTCACACGCCTAACCCTTGCATATGAAACTGCATTTGACTATCAGGAAACTGGAGCTGTGCTCCTGCTACAGTAGGAGAGAGTTTCTATTTGCAAATTTGGGGGTACATTTGGGATGTTTGTAGCAGCTCCTTTGGTATGGCATCAAAGTGTAAATAATCTGAACACCCCAAAAGTCTGCTTCAGAGGGAATGGATTTGCATATTCCTACAAAGAAACTCTGCCCATCAATAAAAAAGAACCAACAACTAAAATGCACAGCAAGGTGAATGCATTGCAGAGTACGGTGAGTGAAGGTAGCCAGGCCTGAACATTTGAGCAGTGTGACCCTGTCTGATTCACCAGTCGCACAAACTTCACAGGTAGGTGATGAAAATCATCAGAGGGGCTCTCAGGTGGAGAGTGGGAGGTGAGCTGTTGAATTGGAAGTAACACATGGAAACTCTCTTGAGTAATGAAAAATCTCAACATGCAGGCCCAAACAGTCCTACATGGACATAGACAAGTGCAAAATTCCATTAAGATACACGTGCAACTTTTACATAATTTATTATGTGTTTTACCTCGTTTTAAATAATAGATGAAAAGCAAAGGAACAGCATTTTAAACATTGAGATGATTGTCAGAGTCACCATCTGAGAATTGAAAGCAGTTCCACCCATAGGGAGCCCTCACTGGGTATGTGAAATATTTGGAAATATTAGTGCATATTATATTTCTACAAATGGAACTTTAAAAGTAATGGGGAAAAGACTGCTGAGTCTTGGACAAGATAGGTATTGGAAAATATATGTTGACATTACCAATCCCAAAGCCACTACTGTTACCGTGACATCCTCCCTGGGGCTGATGCTAACAGAGGCTGGGTTTAAGTGGGGGTGAAGAGGAGAACTGAGGAAAGGGAGGAGAAAATTACCTCAATTAGGTAATAATTTAGAGACAGGGGTAGTGACTGATGGATTCAGAAGAAATGTATTGAAATGGGAAAATTTGTGTACAAGTCATATTTGGTGTCCTGAATATAAAAAAGGTAACAATAAAATCTATACTATAGGGTTGTGATGTTTAAATTAAATAATGATTCTGAAATGTGTAATACAGTTCCTTATATATAGCAAGCTCAATAAATATAGACCTTGATTTTCTTGGTAAAACATCCCTTTCCTTCAAAGTCTAGGTTCATGATGGTAAATATTTTAGAGCTTTCAAGGATAACAAACAGGCTGCTGCAGCATGCAAGCCATAGGTTTGCCATCATTGGTCTAGGTCTATGGCTGTGACTGTGTTTTTTTCCCTTCACATGGGTTCAGTACTGGAAACTTCTGGAAGACTTAACCATCACTTTTCCTGGAAGTAGTCATTATTTTTCTCCACGCTTTGGTTGTCATTTCCTCTTCATTACCTGTGCTATTATGTTTGGGGTGCTAAAAGAACACAGGTAAAGTACTTACAAGGGGTTTCATTTTCATTTCCCTAATGTGTGATGATATAAAATCCTCTTTGCATGCTTATTGATACCGGGTATCACATTACTGAAGCAGTGAAATTTTTTGTCATTTTCAATGATGATGTTTTTCTTATTGATTTTATAAATGATTGATGCATTCTGCATTTTAATCCCCTTTTAGAAATATGCATTGTAGAACCAGGTGCCCTTGTGCACACCTGTAGTACCAGCTCTTCCAGAGATTGAGGCAGGAAGATCCCTCAAGCACAGAATTTCAAGGCCAACCTGGACAACACAGAGAAAGCTCATCTCTTAAAATGCAACAGTTTTCTAGGCTCTGAATGAAATTTCTACCTTCTCCATTAACCTTTCACTTGTGGGCAATGTTCCTCAGGCTAGCCTTGAATTTGCAATTCTTCAGCCTCAACTTCCTGGGTAGTTTAAGTTAAATGCATGCACCAGTGTACATGATTAAGGCCAATTTAAAATATGTGTCATATTCATAGAAAGATAGTGTAAACTTTCATTTTGCTTTAAGCACATTACAAAAGCCTTTTTGTTGTTGACAACTAATGCCCCTAATTGGAAGTCAGACATTAGTCTTCATGTTGTTTCTAGGAATACAAAGTGTGGATTTTCTCTGAGTGTTGAAAAAATTTTATTATTGTTGTTCTTATTTATTTAAATATGCTGAAATATGGATTTGCCTTTATTTATCTGCCTGTAGCCATGCTGTCAAAAACAGTGTAGTGGATGTACAGAATTCTTTATCCAATTTTATGGCTTCCCATATAACATTGCTCCTGACTGCTTCATGGGAAGTTAATGCGGGTGATTATTATGAGTGGAAAGATTGTAGCTATATTATTATGTCCATTTATATAAACAAGGACAATAACAGTCCTGATTTTCCATTTTCTTTGAATACAAATATATTTGTGTAAATAATAACTATTGTTTTCTCTCCTCCCAGTAACCTGCATGTAGTAACATAAGATGTGCTAATGAGACATAATCTTATATCTCATTTTATCTTTGTATTTAAGCTACAGGGTATCAATAGGGCAGTTTATCTCAGCTAGAAAAGTTATGACCATCACCCACAGATCTACTCAAGGACTTTGTATACCCTTCGAGGACAGAGCTTGCACATATTCAATAGGGTAGGGAATGGTTGTGTCATTTTAGCAAAAAGCATGATGGTTATAATGTCTTGTTTTTGAATTTTAAGCTTGGTTTTTTTGTGTGTGTTTTGCTGCTAGGGGTCGAACTTGGGTCTTTGCATTTTCAAGGCAGGAGGCAGCACCACTGAACTAAATCCCCAGCCCTTAAGGTTGTTAAAGAATGTTTGTTTGACAAGTTGAGAAGGCAGCACTGTGGTAGCTTTACATGCTCTCGATTTAACTCTCTGGAGTTATTTTTCCCAGAATCTGCTTCTTTGGTTTGTTCTGCTCTGGGTTCACTGAACATGAAAGAAATAGTACGAGATGTAGGAGGTAGGTGTGATGGAGTAGCCATTTATATGTTCTTTAGATTCAGGGCTCCAGGGCCTGGGCAGCTCTCTCTCTCCTGCTGCTACTTGTCTGCCAGGTCCTCCTCCTGTTTACACAACGCCCTCACCTCTCACCCCATCTCCTCCTTCAGCCGTTCTTTGTTTTGGATCAAGTACGTAGTATAACGGCAAATTGCACTGCTTCTTTTCAATGTTTTCTTAACTGAAACAGATGATGATGATGAGAGATAAATGAGAGATGATGATGATGTGAGTTCCATTTTCAGCATGTGTTTCCATTACATCTTCATAAGTCTCCATTTAGCCACGTGCTTGTCTTCATCCCACTGTTCCAACCAAATGTGAATCTAGCTGACCTTCACCCAAGTCATGCTCAGTTCAAGATGGAAAGACAAGCAGAAGCTCCTCCCCCCAGCTCCAGCAATTGCAGGAGGCTTCATCTTTATAACTACTCTCTTATCCTACATCATTCCTGGTGGTTCTCCCTCTGTGATTGTACCTAACACAAAGCTGAACCAAAGGGCTTAGGAAATGCCTTGCATTGCTATTTTAGAGAGTTGTACCCAATTCTGTGCTGCATTTTAAAGTGACACTTTAAAATACTATGGGACAAATTTTCAACATTATATCTGTAAGTTTGCCAACTCTACACTCATTCTGTGTGCTCTATCTCCAACTCAAAAATCCAAAGCAGAATGTTCAAGAAAAAGATTGCACCTGATACCAATTTCCAAATAAAATAGAAGCAGGTTTTATTTAGAATTTAATCTGATCTAGACCATAGGTTAAGCAACCACAATACTCAAAGCTCCCTTCTTTTTTGAGATCTGCAGGTGTCAGTCTCAGCAGGGCTTGTATCTCTTACAGTAAGAGTCTGCTGAGTTTTTGTTCAGCTCTTACTATCACTTCAGACACTGTGCCCTCAAAGAGAGCACAGAAGTACTTTGCAGAATCTTCAAATTGTAAGGCTGAAATAATAAGGCTGATGGACTTAATTCCTTTCTGGAAGTTGACAGAATGGCGATCAATCTTTATAGTTGAACCAGAAGAAAACTGATAAATAAGAAAAATCATCTCTCCACTGGGAAGTTGCTTGTACCAACAAAGGTAGTAGGAGTTCAAACTTGTCTCATAGGAACAGTCCAGGGTGACTGTTTCTCCCTCTGGCCTGGATATGGCTGGCTGTACTTGAGTCAGTTTCTGGGCCACACTGGATCCTGTAGAAGCAAGCAGTCAGAAAACACAGCTGATAATCTGATATGCTGAATTAAGCATTGTAAGAATTAGACTAATTTAGGACCCAAAGACAAACCAAACTAAAGTACAGTTTCCTTTATTTTCTCCCTTTCCCCTTCCTTTTCTAACTCATGTGAAGCAGCCTGTTGCCTATATACGATCATTTTATCTGTAAAAGCCTCAGCCTGTTTGGATCATCTGTACCAGAACAGATCAAAAGCACCAATATCCACAGCAGGTCAGAGGGTGGCATGTGCCTTGGATGTCTCTGTACAGCATGTTTCATTCTGCCTCAGCCTCAGAGTTCAGTCTCTGAGCCCTCGGCAATATATATAAAGACTTCCTGGTTCTTATGCTAATCTCCCGAGCAGGAAATGTAGTTTCTTAGGTTCATAATTCACAAGGTCTGTGCACACATGAGAAAAAGTGTGACTCACCCCAACTTGTTCCTTTGTCTACTTATCTTTCCCAGAGAGTTATGTTAAGCTGAACCTGAAAGGGGGGTGTGAAAAAGTAATTAGTTTGAGGAAAATAGCTGAGGGGAATTGCAGGTTCAGCTCATTGGCACATACTGATGGTATTGAGCAGAGAAATACTTGGGACCTGTTTATAGAAGATTTGATAATGAGCCAAGGATTCTCCTTTCAATCCACTTACTGGTTGCTAATTTACCAATTATTTTTTGTTCTCTGGATAATCTTTGTTTGTTTGTTTGTTGCTTTTTTTCTTGTGAAAATCAAGCATATACAAAACAATGATTGCATCTTTTTTTTTTCTTTTTCTCTCAGTTCTGGTAACTACTTAAATTTCACAATTAAAAAAACTACTTCAAAATGAAACGATAAAAGCCATCCCTTCTGTTATTTACTAAAAGGTATAATAAATAATGTGAAATAGGAAGAAAAGAGACAAAGGGGAAGGATAAATAGGAGGGGGAGGGGAAAGGAAAGAAGGAAATGAAATTAATATGAAAAATAAGAAACAAAGTCTTTGTCAGTGGTAAAGGAGAGAGGGGTTGAAGGGAGGGCAGGGGAATGGGGAAAAAATAAGAACCAAGATTGATTATGTAAAGGTACAAATTTCCAACAATAAATGTCATTATATTGTAAACACTCAATGTACCAATAAAAATAATTTTAAAAAGAGAAGCTATTGTTTGTTTTGTGAAATTATAACAGGAATAAAATGTTATTCTTTCAAAGTCTGATACTGAATTTTATTGACTAGATTTTGAGATGACAATGACATTCAGTCCCATTACCTCCTCAAGAAAATTATGCTTAAATATGTATAATACAATTGTCCTGTTATCACATTTTCTATCCCATTGATTCAAAGTAGTCAGTCTTGGGCCAGAGATTTAGCTCAGTGGTTCTAACACCTGCCTTGAAAGCTCGAGGTCCTGAGTTCCATTTCTGGTACAAAAACAAACAAACAAACAAAAACATGAAGTAGTAAACCTTATTTGTCTATTAAAATGTTTTTATTTGTTAAATAACCTTATGAAAATCATGGTGGGTCTTTCTGTCACACAATAATATAATCTGCTCATACAAAATGTGATACATATATCTATATATTTTCCAAGTACTTATCAGCACGTGAATATCACAGAAATTGATGACTGAATTTTTGTATGCTGTTACATGATTGTAAGAAACATGGCAAATGATCTTTCATTTACTCAATTTTTTTAAATGAATGAATTTATATAAAGTGACCAAAAGGAAAATAAACAACTTGGAAAGAACATATAGCCAAGGACTCTAGTAGAGTTCCAGTTCTTGAGACAGGTACAGCAACAGATCAATCGGTGGTGTAGGGAAGAGTCTGAAAACATTCAAGATCTCTTCCCTGTGCTATTTCACCTCAGTGTGCTGAGAAGCAGACAGTGTCCTAGTTTGCAATTATTTGTACCTGAGTGAGAGACATAAAAGTGAGAGACATAAAACATCTACCTCTGAACTGGGAGTGGGCCTGCAGACCAAAGAACAATTTGGGCAGTGCAGCTTAGGAAGGAAATTAGTTTATTAAAGCTTCATTGTGGAATAGTAGAAAACATGCTGGCTGTAGCACTACCAAAGTCACCAACCCCACTGTGCTAGGCTAATGGTTTTATAGGGTATGATTAAAACAGCAGCAAAATCAAAGCAAAGAAGGGTCCTTGGGAAATGTTGTATGGACTCCATTCTCAGTCTGTTCTTAGATCTTTTGCAAATGGGAAGGGATCCAAGAGATCAGAGGGAGAGAGGGAGGAAAGGAAAACTTTAATTTAAGAAGCGTCATATTCATGTGCCAAACATCCACAATGAATGTAAACATTATGTGTCACAAATATGAACTATAGATAATATTAATAATAATGAGGAAAATAGGGAAAGGAGATCTGGAGATGGACGGAAGGAGGTGGTGGAGATGGGAAGGGGAATAGAAAAGAATCAAGGCGGTACATGTACTCACTACGGAAGGTGAACGTTAATTTTTGTAATAAAAACAGGTACTGATAAAATAACGTTTTAAAAAAGCGGTTCCGCACATCTGCCTCATGACGCCATTATGCTGCAGTTTGGAACACAACCTCTCCAGCGGGCGTTGAGAGCATGTGGGCAGTATAAGATGGGGTTACTCTGGCTGTGAGTCAGAGGACAATTCCCACTCTGTGTGTGGAGACCACGGATGCCTACAGCAGCCTTGGGAGCAGCACGGTAGCAGGGTTTCCCTCCCGTTGATCTGGCTCTTCTGTGTGCCGAACAGCCCAGGTACAGGGTCTCTCAGCAGCAGGGAGCCAGTGCCTCTGAAAGCCTGTTTTTATGTGGGTCAACTTTGATTATGCTTTTTTGCTGAAGTTATGAAGTCCGCCTGATTCTCAGTATTGTTTTCGTCCATTCTTGTGATTTGAGAAATGATGCCATCCGATAAAGTATTAATATTTTAGGAGCATTCAAAGGAGATTAACCCTGGAAAACATTCAGATTTAGTAAAATAATTTATGATAAGATCTGAGAGGCTTGTCTGAAGCCAAAGAGCATAAATTCTTCCTGCGATTGTGAATGCTCATTTAAATTTTTGTTGTGCTCTTGCTTCCAATCTGAGACCAAATTTAAACATGGTGACTAATCCTTGGCTTCAGTACGGAGATGAACCACAAGTCCTTACCTCCCTTCTTCCCCAAGGACTACAAATTCTGGCGATTAGAATGTTTGCCAAGGCAAAGCGTCTTCTCAGACAAAAGAGATCAGAACAGGCTCCCACATTCTGGCATCTCTCCAACCGTGCACTGGAGTAACAACGAAAGCAGTAAAGTCATTTTGTTTCTAATGCAACTTTGTGCTTCAGTTTTCTAGTAGTCCTGCGAAGGGGAAGTCATTGGTGCCCCTCTAAATCTCAGTACTCAACCACGTTGCTGTAATGAACGTGTGTGCATTGTTTGGAGCAATTCTGTGGGTTTTGTTATAGTTTTCAGGAAAACGAAACCTCCTCCTAAGAGCTGTTTTATCCATGAACAAATTTAAAACTGTTGGTAGTGTAAATATTGTACAAAACAAAAAATAATTCCTCTTTGAATATTAAATGGATAGCCCTTCCTTTCCCTTGCTGAGAATTGATCTGGTAAAGGAGTTTATGGTAAACTCCAAAATTCCCAAAATTTATTTTTATTTCTCTGCCCATAAATAGAAATAACTGAGTTACTCTGTGACAATCTCAATTTGCCTTCAAAGTCTTCCAAACTCACATTCTGTGAGAAGCAGCTGAATCACTACTGCAGTGCTGGGCCTTCCCAATGTTGCCTTCTAAGTCCTTGGTAGTGGCTCGTGTTCTGGCGGTAACATCCAACCTGAGCTTTGTATTCTGTATTATTCTTATAGTTCTCACTCCCATGAAAATGACTCTAACACTATTCCATATTTCTGATCTAACTTTTAAACTAGAAAAGGAAGCACTTTAAATTTCAGAGAAACTTCATACATGTACTGACCTCTGTGGCATATCTCCTGATGCTAAGAACAAATTGATTTTATTTTCTCTTTTCACTTTCTCTTTTTGTATCTTTTTTATGAATTTTTAGACTGGGAAAGATTTTCAGATGTATTTCATGCTGAATGGCCATTTCGCTCGTGTGTGTGTGTGTGTGTGTGTGTGTGTGCGTGTGCTTATACACATGTGAAGTAAATTTAATGGTTATAAATCTATTTAGTTTTTTATTTTACATTAGGTTTAGACTTGTTTTTTTCTTTAAAATTGTTTATTTTCTTAAAATCGCTAAATTTATTGAAAATTGTTCATAATTTTATCTTAGCATTTTAATAGCTATTTCGGATATATTTATTTTTCAGTGTTTTCTGTTACTGTTTTTAGTAGTTTCTTATTTTGCTTCAATAAGTTACACAAATGGTATCTCAAGCCAATATAAATGTTCCTCTTAGAATTCTGGAGATCACAAGTCCAAACATCGTTTTCACTAGTGTACAGCCAGTCTGCTTCCTTTTGGTGTCTGTGGGGAATAATCAGCTTTCTTGTCCTACTAGCATTTAGAGGCTTTCTTCATTTCCACATCTTACCGCATTTTTGTCCTGTATCTATCTATAATTTTGATCCACCATGATGATTCAAGATAAACTCTCAAACTCTAGAGCTTTATATTAACCAGATCTGCAAATTCCCTTTACTCATAAGCTATTCTCTTAAATTTTGTCCCCTAAATTCATATGTTGAATTTCTAGAACTTTGGACCATGATCTTATTTGGAAATATGGTTGTCACAGGTGCAACTAGTTAAAGTTATACTGGAGTAGGCTCAGTTTCTACTCCAATACGGCCAGGTTTATGAAAAGAATGTAATGTGAAGAGGCTGGGACACAGAGAGGTGACACTTAAAGGTGACACAGAGAAGATGTGACCATCTACAAGCACAAGACTACGAAAGATAGGAGAGAGTTCAGAGGAGATCCTCCTGACAGCCTTCAGAGTGGACCCAGACCTGCCAACAGCTTAACTGCAGTGAGTGGCCTCCAGGACTAAGAGGAGTAAACTTCTGATATTATTAGCCACCCAGTCTGTGGTACTTTGCTGTGGAAGCCTTAGAAAATGATTCTGCTATGTAAGGTAACATGCTCATAGATATTTCCAATATGGAAAGCTGTAGACACAGTCATTTAGCTTAACGCATTTTTCAACTATTCTATTTTTTCCATTATCAACATTATCAAGTATATATGTTTTGTTTCTTCAAAATTGTTCTATATAGCATTAGTCATTTTATTGCTTTAGTTTTGTTTCCTATTTGATTTATTTCTCCTTTTTACTTTTTATTCTAGTACAAATTATGTATGCAATTAATGGTAAGAAAAGTATATTTAAAGGAAATTTGAAAATGGCAAACAGCCTTATAAACTAGAAAGTTTCCTCCCTTCACTCCAACATAATCCCTTGCACCTCACCCATAAAACTTCCAACTCACAATGTAACCATGGTTCTGATTTGTTTCGTTGTGGGTCAGTTTGCCTATTTTAGAATATCATATGAATGGAATCAGTTTCAATCATTTTAGGTCTGGCTACTGTGTTACACATAATATACTGGAGGTTTATTCCCTTTGTTATAAGTATAAGTGGTTCGGCCTATTTTATAGCTGATTAATATTCTATTGAATTTTATAGTATAATTGATTTAATGTCTGTGGACATTTCCTCTACTTTGTTGCTATTATAAATGAAGGTTCTATGAGTATTCTCATACAGATCTCTTCATGAAATTATGTTTGCAACTCTTTTGGGTAAATGAGTAGAAGTGGAGGTGTTGAGTTATGGTAGATGTATGTTTGGTTTTATATGAATCTGCAGAATTTATTGCCCAGTAACTTTGACCTAGCAATGCTTAAGAATCTGACTGTTTCCTATGATTATTTTTTATTTTTTTCATTAAGTTTATGGGTACACTTTATGTATACAATACAGTTACATTCATTGGAAATTTTTACCTTTACATGATGTATCTCAGTCCTTATATTTTCCCCATTCCCCTGCCCTCTCTTCAACCTCTCCATCCCTCCCTATTTCAGAGACTTTGTTTCATTTTTTTTCTTTTCTCATATTTTTTCCTTTCCTGTCTTTCCTTTTCCCTACCCCTTTAGACATTTTCTTCCTATTTCACATTATCGATTATACATTTTGATCCTTATATTACTTTTTATTTTTAAATAATTTTAGAATGCCAGAAATTAAAAAATCATGTAGATATCTCTTGCACATCTAGTTTTATTCATTGTTAACAGGTTGCATTATCATGTCAAAATTCTTAACCAAATACATGCCAATTCATCCCAAAGTGAATAACTTTATGTTTATATATTATTACACATTGTTGTACCGACATTATTCTGAATCATCAATTTTGTGTACAATTGTGAGAATGTATGCATAGTTTTATGACAATTCGTCACATGACAGCTAAGTGTAACCACCACTGTAAGTGACATGGAAATGTTCCTTCACCCACAAAAGCCTCCCTGCACACACCTTCCCCCGCCATAACCACCAACCTGTTAAAATCCCTATAATGTTGCCAACTGAAGAATATAAGTTAAACTGTGCATTATGTCATGTTTGATAACGAGTTGTTTCACCCAGCATACTGACCTTAAACTTCATCAAATTTGTTGTTTTTACTACAAACTGTTCCTTGTTTAATAATCACCCATGGCATTGGAGCAGCACAGTCTATTTACCCATTCATCCAGTGGAGCATAAAATCTTTTAGATCTATCGTGGGTTACTTCTATTGTCAGTTTAACCCATTTTATTGCTGTTCAGCATAGCATTATGGGAATAAAGCACAGTTTGTTTTATTCACCAGGTGATCAATATTTGGATCATTTCCAGTTTGTCAATGTGAGGCTATTTATGGCTAAGATTGCTAAGAGCAAAAGTCCTTGTATAGATAGATGTTTTCATTTTTAATAAACATCTAGGAGTGGAATCTCTGTTCTTAAAGTAAGATCATTTTACAAAAAACTGCTAAGTTATTTTTCCCCTGGAGTTGTGAGAATTTGCACTCTACTAGCAATGTGTAAAAATCCCAGTTGCCACACAAGTGTTACGGTGTTTATGACAATCTCAAAACATTTCATTGTTATAGTCTGACCATTCATGAAGGTAAGTTTATTGTATTTACTTTAATAACATCCTCACTATACTGCCACACTACTGAGGTTATACATTTACTTTATTAACTATTTGTGTAAATGAAAACTAATTCACATCCCTGGCAGCCTATATCTCAGGCAGGTTTTGCTGGGGCAACTAGGGCAGGTTTGGTCGCAGGCTGCAGGTGCCTGGAGAGCACTGTGTGCTCGCTGCACAGAAGTAGGTGGCTGAGTCTCCAGGCTGAGAATCCCTGATATGCAAGGAGAGCTCTTTGGAACTTTTACTGAAGAAAACTTTGAATTTTCCATCTTCCTTTTCATTCATAACTGATCGTACATATGTCAATAATTCAAGACCTTTACCAGGGAGTTGCCGGTACCATGGAGCAGGCTGCATGCCTGGAGAGCACTGTGTGCTCGCTGCACAGAAGTAGGTGGCTGAGTCTCCAGGCTGAGAATCCCTGATATGCAAGGAGAGCTCTTTGGAACTTTTACTGAAGAAAACTTTGAATTTTCCATCTTCCTTTTCATTCATAACTGATCGTACATATGTCAATAATTCAAGACCTTTACCAGGGAGTTGCCGGTACCATGGGAAGTAGTCAAATGCACTGTTCTCATATGTACAGTTCAGAATTGAAATCTCTCTTTCCTGGACTGTCAGAAACTGAGGATTTTGTTTCACCTGTTGCTGGTCACTTTTCTCCTTCTGCTGGCTGCTCACCCCTGCTTAGAAAGATTTAAAAACATAGTCATTAGGCCCTAAAACTGGATTTCCCTTTTAAAGATTTTACTTGCATGCTTTTGTCTGTTCTCCCATCTTGTCACTCCCTCAATTTAATACTATTTCCTGTGGTTTCTCCTCTACAACTCACGTGCTAGATGAAGTCCTAGAATTAGAACTGATACTCCAAGGATCTTGTCCATTCCTCCTGCAGCCAGAGCTCAGCACAAATTTGCGTAGTCTTCTGGTTTCCTCAGACCACTGGAGCTCTGACTCTAAACCCACACTCACATTAGCTCTTTCAACAGGCCCCACCCTTTCACAGGTGTTTTCACTTAAAGCTATTTCTGTCACAGGGAGCACTTTCCAATTTGGGCTGAATTTAGTCTTTTAAAATAAAATAAAATAAAAAACATCCACTCTGGCTATCTGGATAAGTATCAGTTTAAAATTTTTCTCTACTAATCTCTTTCTGCATTTGCTTTCTAATTTCTAGAATATTAAAACTCATATGTTGTAGCAGTTGTGTCCATTGAAATCCCTTATTTTACAATAATGGAAGAGAAGGAATCCCATGAAGCCAAAAGATTAGCATAAATAAGGGCATTTCACTTTTATTATAAATCTTAAAGCTGATTGACAGGACACGATTAGCATTATATCCCATTATAATCCGGGGTTGTGGAATATATATTCTCTTTTTCTTCTTTGTCCTCCTGGAATTTCAGTTTTACCACAATCTTTTAGGTTTGCTCATATTTCCCATGACTTTAAAAAATGATAGAATGTAATTAAGTCAATGCAAATTTCTTTGTAGTTTTTATAAATGACACATCAAGTAAGTTAACTATTTCAAAGAATATGTCTGATGAAAAAAATAGAATATCCTGGAACAATCTGTTCTGGAGAAGCTCTGACCTTCTAAAAAGAGAGGAAGAGAACATTCTGCCCATCTTGGAAGATATTAAGATTTGGCTGTTCCGAAACATAACATTTTTAGTAGCTCTCAACCTGAGTTTGAATAGACATTGAATATTTTCTTTATTCTCATGGATGAAATAGGAAAATATAAAGAATTGATTTTGCTTTAGAAATTCACACCATTAGAGCATAGGGACAAAAATCGATAAATTCTAAAGCAACCCAAAAAGGAGGTATAGTTTCAGTTATAAATTATAAAAATTAAAATGACACAATGAAGGCTGTTTTTATGAAGTGCAGAATGGATTTTGTTGTATATATAATATATATCATCTCAAATCCAATCGATAGAAAACACCATCATAATCCAAAAAGAGAAATGATACATGTTCCTCAATGTATCAAATCCCATTTTACAGCAATATCAACTAGGAAGTTTTTTTTTAACTGCTTAAGGTTTTTATGTGTTTTCTTCTCCCTCTGGACATGCATTCAGTATAGCATATCCTCCCTTATTTGTGATTGTCACTTTTCAAGACTTCAAGTAAATGTCTGAAACCACAAATAGAGTAAAACTGCAGGACAGAAGCAGGCCCTTTTTAGAGGGTAGAAAATGCCACCTCCACGTAGCTGTGAGCAGCCGTTTTCAAGCAGCTTTATGGTTTGAGGCTGATGGGTTGTGGTGTTGACAGCTGCCTCTGTGTAGACAACACTGTTCCTCCTTGTGCAGGTTGCCGTGCCTCCCCAGATTCCCCTATCAGCCTGCAAGACCAAACCCCTAGCAACAAGCCCAATGTCCAATCCATCAAGTGTCCACCCTCATGAGGGTGGAGACAGGATCCCTACTCAATAATACAGGTCTCCCACTGCAGACACAGTGGCATCTCAGCCCTGTCTGCCCCAACTCCCCCCAGAGTGGCTTCATACTGATTCTTCTTGCAATACATACAATAAAATTACTTTTACTTTGCACTGGATTTCTGGCTCCTCTTCCTTTTTCTACATCAGAGTGGGCGGGGGGACCTAGCTAGCTTGGGGTGAATCTGGGAACTCCTACAGCCCAGACCCACCAGATATAATAAAACCCTATATTGTACTATGTTTTCCTATACTTACACTATAATTTTCATTTTTTCACCTAAAGGAAGCCATTCACTCTTTACCATATCCACATTGCCAGCACCTCTACTTTTGCATTTGGGGTCCTTTATGAAGTAAAATTAGGATCATTTAAACAAACACTGTGGACAGTCATTCTGATAATGAGACGGCTACAAAGTGGACAATGAGCACCTAGCACACAGCAAATCTACCCTATTCACAGTGACAATTTATGTCCCAGGACAAGGAGAGAAGGATGGCAGGAGATTTTACCATGTCCTGAGAACAATGTATAATTTAAAACTTGCGAATTACTTCTGAATTTTCCATTTAATATTTTAGGACCATGACCTGCTGCAATCACCTCACTATCTAGCAAGTGAACCTGAGGACAAGGAGGGACTGATGAATACGTACCGGGTAGTCACCAAATGCTGCTATACAGGCAGTATCCGGATCTCACTCGTGAAAGACGAATCCCAGTCCACATTCTGGAGCCAGTATTCACGGACAGTAAGGTAAAATCTGTTAGAGAGCTGAGTGCTTAGAAAACATGAGCAAGAAAGAGAGATGAAGCCTGTCTGGACCACATCACTAAAGTCTTGATAGAAAAAAATGCGTGAAGTATGCTTCAAACCACGAAAGGATTTTGCAGTAAAAAGAATGCAGAAGAAAATTCTAACTCAGTTAAATCAGTGTGGCTGCAGCTTCCGTGGCACCTGAGTGAGGTCATTTAGTATTCACATCAGAAAATTTTTGTGCCCTGACCTTGTGGAATATCCTGTATCTTCAGAGAAGTGTTCCCTTCCAAAGTCTTATTTTTCAATCCTTTGAGCTGAGACATTATTTAAGTAGATGGATAGATACATATATGAATTAACATATGATATAAAGATAAATTGAAGCAGAGTAGGAAAGAATAATTTTCTACATTTTAAAGAGAGACTCACGCTGGGTGAAGATGTGTGACTTCAATCTAATCTGAAGCAGCACTGCCCCTTTGTGGCTGAATAAGGTGATTACAATCTCCTGTGAACAATTGCCTGTGACTTAGTTTTGTATCAGTGGATTTTATTTTATGCATGTTTTCAATTGTGTACTTGTTTATGTTTATGATACATAATAAATATACTTATTGTGGGGTGTTTGTACATATACATATTGCATCTTGTTCCTTTCTACTTCTCCTTGTCCTCCATATCCAGACCCTCTAACATCTTTCTCTTATTTCTCTCTTTAAATTATTTATAGTTGGGGTTTCTTATATAAGAGAAACCGTGTGATATATAATCTGTATCTGGTTTGTTTCACTTAGCGTTATGAACTCAAGGTCCATTAATTTTCTTCAAATGACTCAAATTTATCCTTTATGGCTGAGTAGTACTCCACTGTGTATACAACATTTTCCTGATATCCATTCATCTGATGATGGGCATAAAAACTGCTTAGGTTCAGCCACCCTGCATCACTGAAGTAAGGAGTGGTTGAATCTCCTTGGGCCAATAATTATTTGAGATGAAAGGAGATTTTGCCCTGTTGAGGTCAGCTAGAAACATTTTTTGCCCTGGACTGAGATGTTTCTCAGTGGGGTCTGGATTCTGCTTTCGGTGCTCTATGGACCAGGATAAAGGGGGGTTACCAAAATGGGAAATATGCGTTTCACTTGCCCTGTGGGCTCTTCAGAGGCACACACTGGACCTCAGGCTGAGTTACTGCTGATTCCACGTGTTTCCCTTCCTCCTTTATCCCTGTCAGATCAGGGTGAGAACTTCACACTGAGAGGCACGTGCCCTTATGTAATCTCTAAATTAGAGCCAGAACACTCGATGGTCATCTTTTTTTGTTTTTTACCTTCACACATAATGGTTGTGTAGTGGTATCTTATTGTGAATTTCACTTGCACTGTTCTCATGAATGTGATATAAAACATGCATCGACAAAAATTTTTCAGAGAGGGTCAAATAGTCAACTCTGAATTTTGAGCTTCGAAGGTCCTTCATTTTTTGTTGCAAGCAACTCATCTCTACCATTGCAACATGACAAAAGCCCACAGGCCACATTTTGTGGAACTCAAACAAAGAGCATCTTTTCATGTTTATCTATTTTCTTTTATGGAAATTATGCTCAAATATTTTGTTCATTTTGCCAGTGATTTAGCTTAGTGGTCTGGTACCTATCTCGCAAGCACAAGGACTTGAATTTGATCCCTGGTACTAAAAAAAATGTAGATGTGTATATATATATGTATATATAATTTTTATTGAGTTGTAAGAGCTCTTTTATATATATCTCCTTTGAACAACACGTGTGTTTCAAATAGTCTCCCTACTTATTGGGTTGCCTTTTTATATTATTAAATATGTCCATGACCTCTGTCCAGAATAGTTCTAAGCACTGCTCATAAAAATTGAAGAAAGTTTAATAAATGGAAACATATGTTATGTTAATGATTAAGAATACTCAGTAGCTTTAAAATTCCTGAATTCTTCCACAAATTAAATGAACTATCTGTCAAAATTCTAATTATTCATATAAATTGGAGAAACAATTCTATAGTTATATAGAAAGTAAAAGATGTTCAAATAATCCAAATTTTTTGAATTAAAATTGGAGAATTCAATCTATACACTTACTGTATAGTACAGAAATGCAAAGAGTTTGATATTGGTGAAAATAAGAGATGTAAGTTATAGATGTACTATATCAAAGTAGAAAAAGAATTATTACAAAAGCAGATTCAGAAATGCATACATGTTCAATTAATTTTTAAGAAATATGCAAAATAATCCTGTGAGAGAGAAAAAAGTGTTTTCCAAAAATGGTGTTGATCATCCGGAGGCACCTGTTGGCAGTGCCTACTGCAGCTAACTTTTAATTTTCTGTTAGTGACTGTTCTAGTATTCTGTGGTTTGAGAGTAATAAATAAACAAAGATTTCTGAGAAAAGAGATTTTTTTGTTTCTTCCACTCTTTTATTGGTGATACATATTAATGGATAATTTTGAAGGATTCATACAATCATTTCAATCCTTTCATCCATTACCCTCTCTCCCCCAAGTTTTACAATCTGAGGAATTCCAGTACATATTACATTTTCTCTTCATACCCATACCCTTTATTACTGGCCTGTGTACCTCTCCCTATTATTCCCTTTATCTTGACTAATAAAAAATAAACTCCCATCTACTTTCCTGTCATTTTTTTTGGATTCCACATATTAAAATATTTGACACTTGTCTTTCTGTATCTAGCTTATTTCAATCAAAATGATGGTCTGAAATCCACCCATTTTCCTGAAAATGACAGAATTCCATTCTTTCTTAGAACTGACTGAAGCTCCATTGTGTATATAAAACCACATTTTAAGTAAGGAAGATGTGGTTTTTCTATAAAATAGAATACTACTCAGCCACAAAGAATGAGAAATTAGATTCATTCATAGGAAAATGGATACATATTGAGGATATACTCCTAAGTGAAATAAATAAGTCACAAACGTGTAAATACCAAATAGTTTCTCTGGTGTGAATAAACTATAATGGTGCATAAGATCCTAATGAGATAATTGACTATGTGAAATAGGAAGAAAAGGGCTAAAGGTGTAGGGAAAGTGGGAAGGGTAGGGGAAAGGAAATAAAGGAAAGGAAACAAAGAGGAGAAAATGAAAAAATGGAAATACAGTGTTTGTAAATGGGGAGGGGAAGAGGGGGTGAAGGGAGGGCAGGGACAAGGGGAAAAAATGATAACCAAGACCTGTCATGTAAAGATACAAGATCCCAGTAATGAATGTAACTGTACTGTATACTACAAGAGTAATTTCTAGAACTCTTCTGTGCAACACAATGCTTACAGTTAACAACACAGTATGAAACACTTAAATATTGTTAAAAAATAGATCACAGGTTAAGTGCACTTACAACAGCTGCACCAAAAAAAAAAAAAAGGAAAAAAAACCCCACAAGAAACGTATGATGCACACTGTCCATTTCCTTGATTGTGGTGGTTACAAGGGTGAAAGCATATATCTAAGACCATCAGATTGTATAGAGTAGTTTTTATACAACAATTCTACTTTTTTTAAAAAGAATTAAAATAATTTATGATATTTTATATTTATTATTTCTGTTGTTCTTCCTTTATTCTTGGAGTTGCAAATTTTGGGGGGTATCATTTTACTTCAGGTTAAACAGTCTTCATCCTTTCTTTCTTTTTTTTTTAATTCATTAAGTTTGCTGGTACATTTTAGACATACATGACATTCATCATTGGGAAGTTGTACTTTTACAAAATATATCTTGGGTTTTACTTTTTTCCCCATTCCCCTATTTAAATTCCCCTATTACATTTCCCCTACTTTCCCCTATTTACAAAGACTGTTTTCTTTTTTTCCTTTTCTCATATTTATTTCTTTCCCTTATTTCCCGTCCTCTACCCCAATTCCCCTTCCCCTTTGCTCCTTTTCTTCCTATTTCACATTATCTATTATCTATTTTAATCCTCATTTACACTTGCAGTTTCTCACACAAGAGGAACTATTCTATATTTACACGTGTGCCCTATTTATTTCACTGAAGAGTATGGCCTCAATGCGCATTCATTTAGCTATAAATGTCTCTAGTTTCTAGCTCTTTATAACTGAGTAGTACTCCATTTTATACAAAAAAAACAAAAACAAAAAAAACTTGTTTATCCAGACTCCAGTTAATGGGCAATTGGGCTCTTTCCAAGTTTTAGCTATTACAAACTGTGCCTCTATAAACATGGGTGCACATGGATTGTTGTGGTATCATTCCTTTAATTTTTGTGGGAAGATACTTAGCAAGAAAGTAGCTGGGTCAAATGGGACCTCTAATCCAAGCTTTTGAGAGATCTCTATATTGATTTCCACAGTGCTTGAACCAGTCTGCACTCCCACCAACAGTGGAGAAGGGTTCCTTCTTCCCTACAATCCCTCCAGGATTTATTATTGGTTGATTTCATGATAGGAGCCATTCTTTCTGGACTGAGGTGGAAACTCAGCATTGTTTTAATTTGCATCTCTTTAATGACCAGTGATGTTGAACAGTTTTTCATGTTTATTTGCTATTTCTACTTCTTTGTCTGAGAAATGTCTGTTCATTTCTGATGCCCATTTTGGGATTGGGTCTTTATATTTGGAAGGTCTGACTTTTTAAAAATTCTTTATATATTCTAGGTAGTAGATCTTTGTCTAAAGAATACCTGGAAAAATTTTTTCTCCACATTGTGGGTTGTCTCCTCACTCTGTTGGTGTTTTTTCTTGCTGCACAGAGGCTTTTTAATAAGATGAAATCCAAGTTGTTGATTCATTGTGCTACTTCACATGTAACTGAGGTTCTGGTCATAAAATCTTTTCCTACACCAATGTCTTCAAGAGTTCTACCTAATCTCTCTTACAGCTGGTTTACTGTTTCTGTTTTAATATTTAGATCTTTGATCCAATTCAATTTTAGTTTAGTGCATGGTGAGAGATATAGGTCTAGTTTTAATCTTTGGCAAGTCAAAACACAATTTTTCCAGCACCATTTATTAAAGAGGCCACCTTTCCTACAGTGAGGGTGCTTGGCTCCTTTGTCAAAGATGAGGTGGCTAAACTTTTCTGGAGTTGTTTTTGCATCTTCTAATCTGTTCTACTGGTTCTCAGGTCTGTTTCTTTGCCAGTACCATGCTGTTTCTATCAGAGTAACTTTGTGGTATACTTTCAAGTTGGGGATTGTGATGTCTCTACCTTCTCTTTAATGCCTAAAATTGCTTTTGCTATTCTCTTCTTGTCCCAAATGTGTTTTTGTATTGTTTTCTCAAGGTCTGTGAAGTATGCTGGTGGGATTGCCATTGAGATTACATTGAACCTATATAGCAGTTTTAGAAGTATGGTCATTTTCACTATATTGATTCTTTCTACCCAGGAACAAGGGGATGTCTTTCCATTTTCTGATATCTTCTTTGATCCCTTTTTTCAAAGTGCTGTAGTTTTCAGAATAGACATCTTTGATTTATTTCATTAGGTTGATTCCTAGGTATTTCATTTTTTTGAATCCTATATTGAAAGGAGTTTTTTCTTCAGTTCCACTCTCAGTGCCTCTTTGTTTGTGTACAGAAAGGCTATTGATTTTTGTGTGTTGACTTTGTATCCAGGTACTTTACTGAATTTGGTAATTAAGTCTAGAAGACTTTTGGTGGAATTCTTGGGATCATTTATATAGAGTTTTATGCCATCACCAAATAATGCTAATTTAACTTCTTTGTTTCCTATCTTTATTACTTTTATTTCTTTCTCTTGTCTAATTGCTCTGGCTAAAGTTTCCAAAACTATATTGAAGAGGAGTGATTAGAGTGGACATACTTCTCTTTTCCTGATTTTAGCATGAAGTATTTCAGTTTTTTTAACATTTAGTATGATAGCGGCCATTGGTTTTTCATAGATGGCTTTTATTGGGTTAAGATAAACACTATCTATTCCTATCTTCTGTAGGATTTTTATCATGAATGTGTGCCTTCTCTATTTCTTGTAGAACAAGTCTACTCATAATGAATTCTCTCTCAATTTCTCCTTATTTGAAAAAAATTTTAACTGTACTATAATTATTATAGGACATCTTCAGTACTTGCAGAACTCATAGCCGACAGTTGTTTGCTTTTGTCAGTTTTTTAAACATGTAATTAGAGGCAGATCATGGCTCATCGGCCTTTATATGGACTTAGGTTTTACTCTGAGAGAAATCAGAGACTATTGCAATAATTTTATGAGGGGAGTTACCTCACTGGTACTTCAAGGCCTGCTGTATTAGAATGCAGTGTTGGGCAACAAGCATGGAGAACATTTAGAAGGGCAGTAACTAGGCCATGGGTTAATTTGTAAGGTAAGGACTACTGGATAACTTGATGGATTAGATTATAGTAGTGAGGGGAAGGAATGAGTTAAAAATAATTCTGATATTATAGCCAGAGATCCTGGATGGAGTTGTTTATCAGTCCAAAAGTAAAAGGTAGCAAAAGGAGCATTATGGAGGTGAGTGGAAAAAAGTCAAGTTACACTGAATTAATACCCTGACCTAGAATCTAGAGTCTTCACCCAGACAGAACATCCACATGAGTCTCTCTATTCTATGTCTTGTCTGACTTGAATTAGTTGTGAAAGAAAGAACTTGAAGAAGTTTTGATTCTTTGCAGGAGTCAAACATTTCCAATGTCTCTGCTGCTCCACCTGCTCACTTTCCTCAAGTGAGAGATCTTGCTTAAAACAGGTCAGGTTTTGCCTTTGAGTTTCAGAGAGTCCCATATTTCTGGGGGTTTGTGTTAGGCTCCCCCTGCAGTCTCAGGCACTGTGCCACTCACAGCACAGAAGTACATGGCTGCATCATTCCCCTGGGCTGAGGCTTTCTCCAGGTGAAAGGAGGTTTCACTCTTCTTAAACTCAGCTTTGAAATCTCTGATTCCTGTAACCAGGGATGGCCCTGCCATGTACTTGAGGAGAAGCTGGAGGCCTTGGCCAGGTGGCTGGAAGTACCAGAAGAGAGAAGGTGTTGCACCATAGGTATAGTTGCACCTCAGCAGCACGGGGGCTCCTTCAGAGACAGTGACGTGACGGTCAGGCTGGGCCACTGACTGGGCTCCACTTCCTCCTGCAACACCAAGTCTGCATCAGTGAGACCGGGACTGACCTACCTGCAATGACGCAGTGTCTCTCTTCAGGAAGAGAAGACATTTCTTCATGGAGGCAGGAACAGGAAATACACCATTACTTACTTAGGGTGAAAGGCATTCCAAGGAGGAGGAAGGTCACTGAGAACATGGCGAGTCTGAAGGGAGGCTGAGAGTGCTTGTCAGGGAGATGCCCCTCCGAAGAAGGAATGTGAGTCCCTGTAATGGCAAAAACTGAGATTCAATTGTTCCTGGTTTCTGCACAGCCTAGAGACTAACAGTAAGAGATGCTGTCTCAACAATGACTATTCTGGTCTCTATCCTGCTCAGAATGTGTACACAGTACCCTGGAAGATAAAAACAACCTTCTAAGGATGACACAGAATTTTTCTTAACAGACATTTCCATCTAGGCAACATTGCCTCCTGGTGGTCGAGTATAGAAACAAATCGAGGCTCAAGGTTTTCATACTAAATGATGAAAATGTTTTCAAGGATCTGATTTTTGAGAGTATTTTATACTTGTGAACAAAATAACATTATAAAGTCATATGAGGTAAATAATATTATCATGCTCATTTAAAAAATAAGAAAACTGAAGTATGGAAGAAATAATGTAATTTGTCCAAGATCACAGAGAGAGAACTGGAGTTTGTCTCACTAATATGAGTTGAGAATCCACAGTATTGGCCAATGATAACTATTATAAGTTTTTCACTGTAGCCTTTTAGAACAGACATCTTTCTTACTTAATGGGTGGGAAAGAAAAACCAAACATTTATAGAGATAATTTGCCCAAGAACACATTAGTTTCAGGACCTAACATTTTTCCACTCCAAACTCAGTTCCTCTTCAACTGTGTGTAGAGCTATTATAAAAGAGAAGGTGAAATTTGACAAAGACAAATGCTCAGAGAAAACTCAGAAGAGAATAGAGACTGAAGAAATTTTTTAAGAGACCCAACACTGCAGGGATGACAGGAGGAGGAAGGACTAAAGAAATCTCCGAGCATAGTCTAGAAAGTGAAGCAACAATCCAGAAGTGGCTTGGATTCTTAGAAGAGAAAAGGAGTTCTAAGAAGAAATGAATGATCAACAGAGCAAGTGCTGAAGAAATGTCTAACAGAAAGATTACTTTTCAATATCTTTTGATCTTTTAACAACACAAAGGTCATGATTTTTTTTCCCACAGAAGATGAAGTGTACTTGAATGATGCAAAGAGATGAAACCAAGAAGAAAAATTTAAATAGTTTTAGGAATTTGGGGATTATATAAAAAGCAAGAAAATATATAGTATCAAAAAGATGAAGTTTTGAAACACTTGGGAAAAATTTATAAGCTTTTGGAAAGAACCTATAAGACACTGTTCAGAGATCAGAGAAGACAGATAGAACTGAAAGATGATCACAGACCTATCGTTTGATAGGAGGAGCAGATACTTCTAGTTTTATTGAAATAAAGAAGGAAAGGATCTGTTTATATTTAAGTAATTCTTTGGGGTATGAAGGAAGAAGTTTTACTCATCTATCATTTTCTAATGGAATTTGTTATTTCTTATAAATAGAGTTAAGTGTCTCTCAAAAGACTTACTGGAAATGACTATGGGCTAGGAAATTTGAGTTATGTGAGAAATTGTGAAATAGCCCCTGTAAGAAATGGCAGTGATAAATGATTAAAGAGAAGACAAGTACTCGCCTGGCAACATTTCAGGTCTAGTTAATGTTGACGGTAATGCTTTTCAATAACACCAGCCTATACACTTCTGTGATTACTTTAAACCCTCTTTACCAGACAAGGTAGACATTATAAGGAAGGTATTTGTGAATGATGGGAATTAATACAATCACTGCTATGACACAGAATGGGAACAAGAATAATGTGCTTGATGACAAAAGATTAAAAGTAAAAAGCTAAGGAATTAAGTTATTGGTAGGACTATAGAAGAAACCTCTGGAAAATGAGATAAAGGGATGTTGGGATGTAGCAGTAGCTAGATCATGGGTTAAATTGTCAGGTAAGGACTGCCAGATATCTTTGTGGATTAGATGTGACATATAAGTGATAATAGATATTCAAAGAATAAATGCAGTGTAAGGATCTGCACGTGAGAAGGTAAGTGTGGGTGGATTTAGTCCAGATGTAATATTTTAGGTGGAGCAGCATCTGATTGGAGAATTATCACAAGATCTTTCCAGAGTGTGGGAATGGAAGTTAATGGCCAAGGGGATTCTAACTCATGATCTGTAAAATTGCTGAGTTCAGGCTTTTTGCTAAATGGTCCAGGCTAATACTTAAGTTGTATCGTATTCAGTATACGAAATTCCTGAGCTTTGTTTGTTAGACCCTTCAATATATGCAGTGTGAAGATGATAATACCAAAAATGTAGGGGAAAATAAGGTCAGAATCTCAAAGCTACAGAAATAATGCCTCAATTTTACTTGTAGCAAAATGTATAAATTTGCTACCTATAAATCCAGGGTGTTTTAGCTGTGGAGGAATAAGGAGCACAAGGGAAAGAAAATTGCCCTACACTAAGAATTGCATTTCTCAACTGCATTGAGACATATGGAAGGAAACCTCACAGAAGCTATTAAATGTGACTTTTTTATGTGAGTTTTTGTAATGTTGGTGATCAATCCCAGGGCCTCACACTTGCTAGGAAATCACTGTACCACTGAACCATACATCAATATTTTGCTTTGAGTAAAATGTGAATTTGGAAGCTAAGGTTAAATTTTTTCAAAGGAGAACAAAAGACAAGTCAGTTTTGAAAATGAGAAAATAGAGTCAGATCCCCTGATGAATGATTATTATCAGGAAGGAGTCAATTCTATAGGACTAAAAGTGCTTCCCAAGGTCCTAGTAGGGAGAAACTTGATTGTAGTAAAGTTATTGGTGCTGAGATTTCCTTGCAGATGTTGTAAATATCAACAAGTTTTAGGCTTTCTGAAAAGGCATAATTCTTCTCCCAGCAAACACAGAAAAAAAGGTGTCTTCAAATATTTTTATTTGCAGATAAAAACGCTAAAGGAAAAGATCACTACATCACATTGAAACCCCTGGCAGCAGAGGGTACACCTAGAAAACCATCCCTGGCTCTGGGCTGCCACTGCACCCACTGCCTAAGATGTAGTACGTGACTCTGTAATGGAGGTCTTGGATACTTACTTAGACTGACTGTGGATCTCCTTTCTTGCTTTGATATCTATTCATAATTTAGTATTGATGCCTCCACTCTTTTTCCTTGACAGCCACTCTCTTCTCTTCCTTCTTTGTCTAATATGATCTCCTACATCAGTCACTCCTAAGTTGCTTTTCAATGTCATCAATCCACACACTTCTCTCTTTCATTTATCAGCCTGCAAAATCTGAAAACTCATTTTTATTAAGATTCACTCACTATTATGCCAAATTAGAAGCATATCCTTGACTCCGGGGTTATATCAACAATGTCCAGAGTGTTGGTTCACAAACTGTATGGACATAATATGCCTCAATGCCCTTTATCATTTAAAGCTATAACTGATACTGTTTTTCCCCCCTACAAATGGCAAATCGTCTTCTTTCTTACTAAGAGAGGCTTAGTTAGTAATGTCCTTGATAAAACTGTGTATGTCCTTCATACATATTTCTACAAATTTCAACTATCACATATCCTTGTTCTGAATAATAAGATGCTAGTACCATCATTTTCTATTCAATATATTTTCAACTTTCTTAATAATCTAAAACACCCATCATCTACATCCTTTGTACCATATATCAAGGGTCAAAGTAATTTATTTATATCTCAGATGTAGGAAAATAGAGATTATCACATTTCTCATCAGTGGTGCTTTAATAGAGAATCAACACTGACCACAAAACAAACTTGTGTTTTTTAAAAGATGCTGCTTCTTCTGCTTCTTTTTTTTTTTTTTTTTTTTTTTTTTTTTTTTTTTTTTTTTTTTTTTTTTTTTTAAAAGTGTTTGTTTTTTTTCTTTTTTTTTTTTTTTTTTTTTTTTTTTTTTTGGTTTTTGTTTTGTTTTGTTTTGTGGATCGAACACATGATCTTGAGTTTATGAGACAGGCATGGTGCCACTGAGCTAAATCCCCAACCCTGCATTCTTTGTTAAATAGCTCCAAAACAAGAAAGAAAAACTATGAGGAAAACACCTGAAATTTTACTTTGTACTTTATAGAAAGGAGGTGTTTATTCAGCCTGTTTTATGTCTTCTCTTATAAAGAGCCTGCTTCAGCCATTTGCCCTGTTCACTAGTTTTCTTCTTTTCTTACTGGTGTGAAGAAGGTCTCCTTTTAAAAATCAAAAAGGCCCTTTGACAATGGCATATGTTGCAAATACCTTCTGCTTACCAGTTAGCTTTTTAAATCTATAGACTCTACTTTCATGTTAATTTTAGTGTAGTTTAATGTTGATACTTAAGACATTTTGTATTTTAAGAAATAATTAGCTAATAAAAAGTAATGGATAATGGTATTTTCTTCTAACAGATTTATATTTTATCCTTATGATCATATCTGCTCTCCAATTAAACTGCCACTTGCTTTTGGTGTCAGCTGAAGGCCAATCTACACATTTTCCATATGACAAGGTACTGAGTGCCATTTACTAAGCATTCCATCATTTAGCCTTGCTAAGCAGTTTACACGTCCTCCAATTTGGTTTTTAACACTACTTCAATATTACCTTTTATCACAATATTTTTTTATTAGTTGTCTCTATTGCCATCTCATTCTGCTAGCTTTCATCTAAGTCTTTTCTCTATTTTGGGGTTTTTACTTTATGTTTTACAGCTACCACTTTCTTCATTTCATTGATTACAGATTTCTAAACTCTTATTCTAGAAAGTAAAATGAATTATTTTCAGAACTTTTCCATTCTTTGTGCCCAGGCTGAATTATTTCCTGTGTTCCTTATTTGTATACCTGTATGCTTTGCCTCTCGCAAAATTATTATTTATGTACTTCCAGTGGCAAGTTAAAAGTCATCAATGTATCATGAGGTTCATGGAATTCTGCGGGAAAAAAAAATTAGACATCTCTTTTGGATGAATTACTTTAACTAGTCTTTCAAATATGCTCAAAAGTTACAGTTCTGAATATATTAGAATACTCAATAAATACTTTTAGCACGGTTACTATTAGTGGGGAG